GGCGGTGACTTCCAGGCCACTCGGCCTTCCAAGGCTGTCTCTTATACACATCTAGATCCCTTTTCTTGCTCTCTGTTGTGTGTGTGCACAGGTGCACGTGTTCTTTGAGTCTGTGTTAAGAGCGGAGTTTCTGGAAAGCCAAACCTGTACGATGATGTTTTTTTTAAGCATATTGCTGTCGCTATGTTTTGCATGCGTTTTTATCCTCTTGATGAATAAGTTGGCACTGTGTGGTGGCCTCTGTCGATGATGTATATCTTCTGCAACCAGTTTCAATACACCCGATAATTGTGGGATTCACTCGATCATGAATGCAAAGGGACTCATCCCTGGCTCTGTCGCTCCTGTGCTAAAATTTCTCTTGTGGCACTTTCCTACAGGTATTTGCCATTGTTAAGTGAAAAAATTCACACCTGTTGGTTTTTCTTTCTTTGCAGAAGGGTGACTCTTCACACCCCTTGTTTGCCAAGGAGCGGGAGACAATCCTCTCTTCACTAAAGAGACGTGCAAAGGTATTTGACAAATTGACACTCCATTTTTTCTAAATTTGTTATTATTTACCTTTATAGAACAAGTGGACCCCCCGCAGCTACGCTGCGGCAGTGGAGGGGGACCAAAGGCAGAGGCAGGGGGGATGGCGAGGGGAGAAGATGAGGAGGAGAAGACGGGAAAGCAGTGAAAGGAAGACGGGATGGGAGGAAGGGGGGAGTGTGAAATGGTTGGTGCAAACGGAGAAAAAAAAAAGTAAAAAAAAAGCGAAGAATGTACGTGTCTCTATGTGGGGGGGGATAGAGAGAGAGAGAGAGAGAGAGACGTGTCTCTATGTGTGTGTGTGTGTGTGGGAGAGAGAGAGAGAGAGAGAGAGAGAGAGAGAGAGAGAGAGAGCCATCAGTCCACAGATCAGCAGGCCTGGGGTGAAAGAAGCGAGTCAAAAGTTGGTGCTGCAGCCATCACAGCAAAGTCTTAGGGTTGTAGCTTTTGACGAAGCTGAAGTTGGGGGGTCAAGAGTTGGTCCTGGAGATGCCAGAGAGGATCAGTCCATAGGTCAGAAGGCCTCTCTCTCTCTCTCTCTCTCTCTCTCTCTCTCTCTCTCACACCTGTCTCTTATACACATCTAGATGTGTATAAGAGAGAGGTCTCTATGTGTGTGTGTGTGTGTGGGAGAGAGAGAGAGAGAGAGAGAGAGAGAGAGAGAGAGAGAGCCATCAGTCCACAGATCAGCAGGCCTGGGGTGAAAGAAGCGAGTCAAAAGTTGGTGCTGCAGCCATCACAGCAAAGTCTTAGGGTTGTAGCTTTTGACGAAGCTGAAGTTGGGGGGTCAAGAGTTGGTCCTGGAGATGCCAGAGAGGATCAGTCCATAGGTCAGAAGGCCTCTCTCTCTCTCTCTCTCTCTCTCTCTCTCTCTCACACACACACACACACACATGCACAMAAAAAAAAAAAAAAAAAAAAAAAAAAAGACGGGAAAAAAGAAGTGTGACGGTGTATATTTCCATGTTCTAGCGGGAGATTCATACGTGCTCTCATGTGGACCGTAGTGTTGGCTACAATGGCCAGAGCTTTGACTGCCAGTTTGCGGCTGCACTTTTGTTTCGTTCGGCAGCAGTAGAGTTCCACCTGTTATGATCCTGGCCAATTTCGAGATACACATCCATCAGATAGTACAATGCCGCCCAATTGCAGAAAGAAATGAATGAACTTGAGAGGGGAGAGAGGATTAGAAGAAGAAGAAGAAGAAAGAAGAAGATGATGATGTACAGCAGCATAGACAAATGACAAGGCTCTTCTTCTTCGCCCAACAAACTCCTCCTCCTTATCTCCCCCTTCTCTTATTCATACAAGAAATAATAATACAATGTTGAATGGCTGATCTGGAATCAATGTCCGAGTTCCTCTTCTACTGCCGGCATCACTTGAGGTCCACCATAGCCTTGGCCGCCTCTTCATCCCTTCCTCATCATAGGCCGAGGCTATGGCGGACTACTAGGCCTTTCCCAGATACCCAAAGGACAACCCAAAGCACCTATGGCTGCTTCACTCAGGCCGCCATGCCCAACTCTGTCTTGAAGCTTCTTGGTGTGGCTCTGCCCAGTTGGGGACTCCCTGCTGCAGCGCCCACCAAGGTGATGAAGATGGCTGCCACCATAGCCAGGTAAGTACCCCTGGCGCTCCTCCTCTTTCCTGTCCTTCTTCCTCCTCCGTGTCCTTCTCCTTCCCCCAGCAGCGCTGCTCCTGGATAGCGCTGCTCCAACCGGCGCTCCAACCAGTGTGTTGCCAAACTTGCACACCAAGAAAGAGGCCGGCTGGGAGATATAGCGGCCTGCTTGCCTCTTCGGGCGGTGACTTCCAGGCCACTCGGCCTTCCAAGGAACCGGTACCTCCTCCCTTTCGGAGGGAAACATCATTGCAGACTCTGATATTGCCCGTACAGGCCCTAGACCCAGACTGGTTGGACTGGTATCCGCCTGGACCTAACCTACAACTACTGGGCCTCTAAAAATGCCACTTTTGTCTTCTTCTGCTCGGCCTCCAGTACCCGCACATCTACCTTTTCCGGGTGCGGTACCGGCCTGCCCGCTACTTGAGTGTTTTTCCTGCTGCAATCCCCCAATGTCACGGCCACAGGTACCGGCCCTGAGGGCCCAATGAACGAGCAAGTGCCCTTGCAGGCCACACACACACTCAAGCCAACCAGCACTCAGACAGACATGCAGTCCAGCAAGCGTGCACACACAGACTTAGTAGCAGGCGGGAAACTCAGCAAGGCATTCAGTCTTTGGGCAAAACTCAGAAATCAATCGTGTGTATCAGTCCATGTTTGGACGCGTCATCACACTACCACCCCCTCAAGAGCGAGGTCCCTTCGAGCGAGTAACTCATTTTGAGTCCTCGACAAACGTATCGTAAGCAAGCAAGGCAAAGAGGTTCCTAGAATACTGCGTCGCAGTAAGCCTTGCGGAGATCTTAGGAGTAACATTAGCTGCAATTTGTTGCTTGTAGGCTTTAACAACGCGTGGTGCGCTGCGTAGCAGTTCCTGCTTGGAAATCCAGTACAGATCGTCCAATGGGTGATACATGAAGTGAACCTGGTACTGTCTGTTGCGTCCCTTCCCTACGTGCGGTTTAATTCTGTCTATCTCATGCCCGCCTTTGATTGCAGGAGGGATCATGTCTTCGCGATAATCGAACGTCTTGGAGGTACAGTTTTGATGCATGGAATACGGGGTATGTGCATAGATGGGCTGGCACATCAACTACGTACGAAGGGCCAAAGTGATCTTCACCAATCACATCCAAAACTTCCCACGGACCGTAGTAGAGTGGGAGAAGTTTGTGAGAGACTCCCTCTTCTCCTGAAAATTCAGACATCTTGACCCAGACATAGCTTTCATGGCAGCGGCGGACAAGTGAACCGGACAAGTCCGGACACCGGGAACCGGATTTCCCGGTTTCATCCAAACGTCCGGATTTCTGGTATTTTCCGGTTAATACGGACACGTCCGGATCGGTCTGTCTGGATCCCTGTCCGGATGGGTGTACATGTCCGGATTATTAAAAAAAAAAAAAAAAAAAAAACCTGCTATACAAAGTACTGCAAATGGGGTGAAAACAATGAAAAGGCCATGTGGCACAGGTAGGGGCGGGAAGGGGAGGTTATAGTGAGTACATGTCAACAACCAAGATGAGGGGGAGGAGGGCGAAGACGTGGAGGAGGAGCAGGAGGAGGGCAAAGATGTGGACGGGGAGGAGCGGGAGGAGGATGAAGATGAGGAACATGACGACAAAGTTTCGGAAAAAAAAGGAAAAAGGGTGCCACATGGCATGAGCAGGGAAGGGAGCGGGGGAGGTTATAGCAAGTACATGACGATGACCAAGACGAGGAGGAGGAGGAGCGGGAGGAGGACGCAGACATGGTTAAGGAGGAGGCGGATGGAGGAGCAGAAAGGAGGAAGATCATGACAACAAAATGAGGAGAGAGAGAGAGAGAGAGAGAGAGAGAGAGAGAGTTGCTTCCACTGCTCCTTGTTGGGCTCCTCGCGTGGCCTTCGCTGCACCCACTGCCAGCTCTCTTGCGCCTGCTCCGCGTCTGCTCCTTGCCTGCTATGGCCGCCTTGTTGCCCTGCTTCTTCCTCCCTCTGACAATGGTGGTAGTGGCGGGCATGCAAGCTCAAACGTTGTTGTGGGAGGGGGGGCGGCCAAACTCGCAAGGCGGGAGGATGAATTCAAAGACTGTGCCCAGTACGAAGATGTCATGCAAGGACGACATTCAAACGGGTAGAAACAAAGAACGAAGAAAACTTCCCACAGGCAAAAAAAAAAAATTATGGCCCTACCGGATGCCCCTTCAGGGCCAAAAAAAATCTGCTCGTATTTTTGGCTGGCGGCCCTGGGCGAGACGAAACGCCCTGGACAGGCAAAAAAAAATTTGGCCGTTGGCCAAAGGGTTTGGAATCCGCACTGGGATCTGGACACGTTCAACGGACACCGGACACCGGACGGTTCGGATCCCTGTCCGGAGATCCGGATCGCTACCATGTTCCTACCTGAATATCCGACGGTCGGCGCTTTTTGTTCGCATGATGGATCATGGCGTGATGTCGCTTGGTCATTACTGCAATGGCAACTTTGAGCAAGCGATCATACTTGGCCCTGAAGCCATGCCTACCGGGTTTAAGCCAACTGGCTGTTTATTACGGATCTGCTAGTCGTATTAAGGAACTTAGAGAATCGGTCAACAATCACCATGACTTGTGAGTAGCCGTTCTTACTTACGTTTCTCAAGTCGGTGAAGTCGATGGAACGAGAATGGGAAGGGGTGTGAGTAGCCCCATGGGCTTTTGTCTGCATGGTTTGATTCATTGACAAACTTGAAATTCAGCCACAAACTTTTCAGCAGTCCCTTTCATGCCAGGCCGATCAAACTGTCTCAACAAATTTGCATACGTCTTTGCCATGCCGAAGTGTCCGCTCCGGCCATGAGCCAAATCGAGAAAGTGCGTGCGGAGAGGCTCATAATTGGGCACACACAAGTGGTCATGGTTCCCGTAGCGGAGGAAAATCAGTTCTCCATATTCGTGAAAATCAAGCTGACTACTAGGATCAGCCCGCAACCGCTCAAGGATGGGACTAAGTTCCGGATCCTTGGTTGTATGCTCTATGAGCTCCTCCTTCAGTTTCTTTTAGGAGGTCGTAGGATTTCACAAGGCAAGTCATGTACTCGGGGTGGCGAGACAATGTGTCAACGACTCAATTATAACAACCCTTTTTGTGTCTCAATTTCATGGAACCAGCGAAGTAACGTAGGGGACAGGGTAGTTTGCTCCTTGATCCACTTCAGAGTCTCTTGATCTGAGAACACTTTGAAGTGGCGTCCCAAAAGATAGTGCTTCCAATGGTCCAAAGCCATACGCAGAGCATAGAGCTCGCGCATGTAGGTGGAAGTGACCACCTTTGCTGGGCATGCGTTTGTTGTAGAAATTGAGCAGCCATAAGCCATTGCTGTTATCTTACA